AAATGACAGCTCTTTTTGCCCCCTTAGAATGTCAGAGAGTGTTAAGGCCACCTTTCAATACCTGGGTCTGCATAATGCAACCCCATGGGAGGCTTCTTTGATCAATGTGCAGGTCTTTGAGACATACTGATGCTTTGTGTCCTGGGTGGGAGTGTTGGAGGCCAGACAGAGGGAGGAGAAGGGCATTTGGAGGTGGGGGAATGTGGCATATGCGGGGAGAGGGGAGCAGACAGAGTACAGGCTTATCGTGTTGGCTATGAATGTGTGGCAAGATATGAGTTGATGCTGGGGTTGGTACTTCAGAATACCCAGCCTTGGTCCTCTGAACAGTGTGGTTTCTTTGTTAGATGCATGAGTTTTAGACAAGTGGAATGGTTGGGCTACGTCATTTCTATCTCCTTGAACCCTGAGATCCTGTGATTGGTTCTGGGGCGAGAGGGGTCTGTGTTTGCTACTGGCTGGGTCTTGACCTTGGCCACTGCTGTCTCATGTCCCTGTCTCTTGCCTGGCTCAGATTCTTGCCATTGGTTGGATTGGTAGCAGGCAGGCTCAGAAGGCAGTGCTGGACAGCAGGAGGAAGTTGAGGGGAACGTGGGCGCTCCCTTCTGGCCAGGGTGGGCGGGGAGAAGCTGGCATCTGCTGTGTTCCTGCAGAACAGGAAGGATGAGATGTGGGATGTGGGATGTGCTGTTCCCTGACACCCCAGTGCACATGGCTGTAAGGCTGTGGAAGCTGCCAGTTGTTGTGGAAAGAATAGAAGTATGGAAGGAACCAGAAATCAGCTGGCTGTGACCAGCCTTGATTTGTTGACTCAGGCTCCGGGAGGTACAAGGAACCCCCTGGAACCCCCGCCCATCAGCAGCCATTAGTTGAATTAGGGCAGCAAATGGTGCTGATACAAGAGCCTGGACCCAGTCCATGATGAACTTCCCCAAGGTTTCAATCTGAAATATTGAAGTCAGATTCACCCCTGGTCAGTCTGAAGCCCTGGGTGGAATGGGGATTATCCTGCAAGAAACTATGGCAAACACTTTAAATATATGATAAGGAGAGAAAAGAATATAGAGGAGCCATGTGCAGCTTCTATAATTACCAACCTCTAGCCAATCCTATTTCTTCCTTATATATTCCCACCCCCAGCTCTTCCTTCTGCATCTAGCTAGGTTTCTGTTAGTGAAATGAGCTCCCTTCCCATAGCTTAGTTCACTTCTTCCCCTCTCCACAGCTTAACAGGCTCCCTTCCTAGACAACACTAGGCCCATGTAGCAAAGGCAGTAAATAATCAGCCTCCAACCCCCTTTACCTTGGGATGGCACTTCTCTGGGGCAGCTACCACCATAAAAGGCAACAAGAGCCCCTTAGAGTGACCTTCAGGTCTGGGCAGCTGCAGGGCCTCTTAATCTACTATTTGGGCAGCAGCCATAAATCCTAGTCCACCATGATGGAGCCCTTGGACCACATGTCCACACCAGGGTCTCTGCCTCCTAGCCCCTTCTAGCCCTCCTAAACTTCTAGGTTATATAGGTCACCCCAGACAATAGCCAGCGCTACTTTTCACTTCTCCCCTGTGAGAAGGGGTCTTGCTGCCCTCTTTCCTGGCAATAAACCTTCCTTTGTTCTCTGTACCTAGATATCTGTGTGGTTCTCTGGCAAAGTCTAATTTTATCCTATCAGTTTCCTTTCTTTTCTTTCTTTTAAAATTTTGGTGGTACTGGGGTTTGAACTCAGGGTCTTACTTTGCTTAGTTTGCTTGCTAGCCTGGTGCTGTGCCAATTCAGCCAGGCCAGTCCAGCTTTTTGCTGTTGGTTGAAGATGGAGTTTAGTGAACTTTTCTGCCCAGGGCTGTCTTCAAACCTTCATTCTCTAAATCTTAGCCTCCTGAGTAGCTAAGATGATAAGCATGAGCTACTGGCACTTGGCCTAGTTGTGTTTTGCAGCAAGTAATAGCTTGCTGTATTATTTTATTATTTATTTGTTTGTTTATTCCAGCTTCAGCCTCCTGAATGCTGGAACTATAAGCATGAACTGCCACACTCAACCTGCAGCTAAGACTTTTTAATTTTTAAATAGTTTGCCTTTAATCTCAGAATAGTGCAAGAGAGAAGAAAAACAGTTTGAACTTTGTCTTTTCTAATGCCTCCCTCCCCAACCCCAAGCCAAGTTAATATGTTGGCTCTACAACATATTAACAGCTACCCAAGCCATCTACCAATCCAGCTGCAGGTCTCCTTGGCTTTCCCGACTGCTCTGTTTTCTCAGATTTCTCTAAGGCTAAATACATACCATGAATCTTTATAGCATATATTGTTGAGGGAAATAATCCAATATTAAACTAATGATGGCTCAGGCTGTACATGAAATCTTTGGAACGGAGTCAAAAGTGATGTTTAGATCTGTGAAAAGCTGACCCTCAAGGCTGGTGTTTGGCTCATACAGTATTTTCCTAGCATGTGTGAGGCCTTGGATTTGATCCCCATCACTGCAAAAGAAAACAAAATGAAAACTAATCCAGCAGAATTGAGTTCAGTGGAAATAGCAAAAAGCTATGACACAAGCTAGTAAAATTTGATATGGATCAACAACTCATTTCCTGAAGCCTCCTTGTTGCTCTGTAAATTGCTTTGACCCAGTGCTGGGGCCGTAGCCACTGGCTCTGACTAAGCCCCAGAGAATCTCTTTAGGTTCATGTGGAAAAGGCATTTAGTGGGTGAGGAAGCATGCGGAGGGCCTGTTCCTTGAGTGAGGGCATAGTTTTGTTTATCTGTCAGCTGTAGGGCTTGAACTTGGCCTGAGTGCTGTCCCTGAGCATTTTCGCTTGGGCTAGTGCTCTACCGCCATGAAACCTGTGGGCATAGAGTTTTCATTCAGGTAACATATTAATACCATGCCCTAGGGCCTTGTTAGGGTTTGAAGGGTTAAACTCAAGATGTCTAGGTGATAAGAACTAGAGGACTTGTTCAAAACCTTGGATTTGAACCCCAGAACTACTAGATGGATGGATGGATGGATGGATGGATGGGTGGATGGATGGATGGACGGACGGATGGACGGATGGATGGACGGATGGACGGACTAGACAGCCACCTCTCTCTGGAATTGCTAAATTAGCTTCTGCCATTGGAGGTCATATGTCATCATGGCATGTGGCTACTCTTGAGTGCCACCATGTTTTTGTAGCCTGGGCCCAGGCCTGTGGATATTCCTCTGAGGATTCTTCCCTAGAGAACTTGAGAAACTTGCTCTTTCCCTCCCTCGCCTCCCATAATAGCACTCTGTAGCTCTGTTGCTTGTCACAGTATGCCTTGTATTAGCCTTTGTGATAAAAATGTTGTTCTACCTGGAAAGAAGGCCCTCCCCTCCAGAGCTTGAGCCTCCAGAAGGCCCCTGATAGTAGAATGGACTGTGTCCTGTTTGGTGAGAGGGTGGTATGAAATGTGAGGTCTCCAGCATGTACTTCAAAAGTCCCAGTCTATCCATTATCCAGTTCCCAAACTGTTTTCATACTTCTGGGTGTTGTTACAGCAGCACCATACATCTTGGTGTGTGTCTGTCTTCGTCTAGTCAGACTGTTGTAACAAAAGCCAGGTGATTTAAGCAGCAGACACTGGTTTCTCACATCTCTGGAGGTTGTCTGGCAAGGGTCTTGCCTGGACTCTCACTGTGGATTTGTGGCCCATGTGAGTTGGGGGTGTGTGATCTCTTTTCCTCTTCCGCTGAGGGCGCTAATCCCCTCCCGAGGGCCCTGCCCTCAAGACCTCATCTAACTCCCGCTATTTCCCAAAGCTCCACCCCCCCAATGCAATCACCTCAGAAGGAGGCTTCAATAAAGTAAATACTTTGGAGGGGATACAACATTCATTCTGCAGCAGGAGCCCTCCTGAAGGTCTCAGCTTTTGTGTTCATGGCTAGCCCTCCACCACTTGAGCCACAGCTCCATTTCCAGCTTTTGGGTAGTTAATTGGAGTCTCATGGTCTTTCCTGCATGAGCTAGCTTTGAACCATGATCCTCAGATCCCAGCCTCCTTAATGATTGGATGTGTGTGATAGGGGATGACAGGAGCGAAGGCTTCTGATACTTCCATTCAGGAGAGAAGGATTGTGGGCATTTCAGAAACTCTCCGGGGATTCGCAGAAGCATGTTGTGTGAGGCCACCTCATATAGGCTGCTTTTCCTCCTAACCAAATGTTGGTTTCCTCATTTGGCACTCGTTAGATTTCATAGTGATGGTAGGAGGAGGTGCAAGACCATGCATGGCACATGTGCAGCATCTGTTTTTGCTTGAAGAAAGAAGTTCAAAGCTTTAAGAGGTTTCTGCCTGTAATCCTAGCTACTCAGGAGTCTGAGATCTGAGGATTAAGGTTTAAAGCCAGCCCTGGCAGGAAAGACCATCTTACTTTCATCTCCAATTAACCACCCAAAAGCCAGAAGTGGAGTTGTAGTTCAGGTGGTAGAGTGCTAGACTTGAGAAGACTAGCTAGGGGACAGTGTCCATGCCTGAGTTCAAGCTTCAGTGCCATTGCAAAAAAAATGGAGGAGGGGGGAGGAAGGGAAAGGAAAGCAAAGCAAGAAGGAAAGAAGGGGGGATAAGGAAGGAAGGAAGGAAGGAAGAGGAAGGGATAGAGGGAAGGTGGGAGAAAAAGGGCTCAGAATTCAAACAGGAGCTCTGGTTTGGGGGAGGCAGGGAGTTTACTCTTGTGTTGCTGAATTACAATTTCCAGATTTCCTGAAAAGTAAAAGCAAATACAGATCCCATTTTAGAAAATGTTAGGTTCCCATGGGATGAATTACTCTCTCAGAGCTGGACTGACACTGTGGGAGTCTGTGGTGAAGTGTGCTTTACTCCTGTGCCCTTCTGGGCAGATGGAGGCGAGAGTAGAGAGGCAGAGCCGGACAGGGTGTATCTTAGTCCTTGGCTTTTGTGTGAGGAGCGGGGTAGGGTGGCCTGCATGGAGCCCCCCCGACATTGCCTGAGGTCTCACAGGGATCTTTTCTTACACAGGCTCAGCTGGAGGCTCAGAAAGCCACACAGGACTTCCAGAGGGCCACTGAGGTTCTCCGTGCTGCCAAAGAAACCATCTCCCTGGCCGAGCAGCGGCTGTTGGAGGATGACAAGCGGCAGTTCGACTCTGCCTGGCAGGAGATGCTGAATCACGCCACCCAGAGGGTAAGAGTGATTGTGTGTGTATGCACGTATGCATGCACGTGTGCGTGCATGTGTATGTGCATGCACTTATGCTCTTACACGGTGATTCCTTCTAAGCCATGATAACAGACTCCCAGGAAGCCCCAGAAAGCTCTCTAAAGGGCCCAGGTGTCTGTTCCATGTGATTAGGTGCAGCTCCAAGCCATACTGGGGTGGGGGGATGGTGACACTCTTTTTCCCATATGGTCTGAAGTTTGCATAGTTCAGGTGGCCACGGAAGTGCTGGCAGTGGACTTTGGCTTCCCCGAGAGCTCAGGATGTTCTCCAGCATCTGCCTTTACTGAGCCCTGGAGAACAGTCTGGATTTGGCATCCCAAGGGTACATCCTTGATCAACAGTTTCCACCTGCTCTGGGGTCAGAGGAAGGCAGGAGTCATGATAGAGTAGACCAGAATCAAGTGGACACTTAGGCCTGGCCTCCAGGGTAGCACCATGTGGTGGGAATATGTGTTTGTTTTTCATGCATGTACTGGGGCTTGAACTCAGCCTAGGTGTTGTCTCTGAGCTTTTTTGCTCAATGCTAGTGCTCTACCATTTGAGCTGTAGCTCCATTTCCAGCTTTTTGGTGGTTAATTGGAGATAGGAGTCTCTGAGAGTTTTCTATCTGGACTGGCTTTGATCCAGGATCCTTAGATCTACTCAGACTCCTGAGTAGGTAGGATTACAGGAGTGAGCCACTGGCACCTGGCTTTGTAGTGGGAAGTGGTAAAGCTATCTTTATCCAGTATGTGGATCACTGGGTTTTGCGTCATTCATATTTGGTTCTTTACCAGCCCCCACCCAGGATCTCCTCAGAATCAGAAGCGAAACTGTCTTAGTTGATCTGTTTGGTCAGCTATGACAAAATGCCAGAAACCAAGTTGCTTATAAACCACAGAAAATTATTTGGATTGTAAAATTCTTGCTTTAATAAAATTCCTTAAACAGTGAAAAAAAAAAAGAAAAGAAAATTATTCCTCACATTTCTGGAGGTGAAAAAGATACAATGTGGGATGTGGGGAGGCCCTGGTCCATAGGGGGCAATCTTCTCACTATGGCCTATGCTCGTGAGGGCTCACGAGCATTTTGGAGCCTTTTTTATAAAGGGCACAGGTCCCACCTGTGTGACCTAATTCCCTTTAAATTGCCTCCCTCTAGGGAGTAGGTTTCAGTTAGATGAGTTGTGCCCTAGCAAGCAGGGCAGTTGCTTGGCCAGTAGGACTTGGTTTCCCCACCTAACTGGGTTTCCTTAGAGTCACACTGAAGAGGTCTCTTCTCTCAGGTCCAGTACTGCTGGCACCAGCCTGGCCTTTTTGTGGCCTCCTCCCTCTCTGCTGAGGCATAAGGGATCATGATGTAGGAGTGGCTTGCTGTAGGGAAGCTGCACTTGGGGTGTAGGAACTCTGACCATGGCCCTTCCTGGATGAAGATTGCGGGGGGGGGGGGGAGGGCTCACCGTTCAGGTCCTGGTGACTACTTGAGAGACTATATGTAGGACTGGTATTGAAGAGCTAAGAGTTAATGCCAAGGGCCTCTCCCTTTTCAGAGTCATCTGCCACAGTGGCTCATGCCCTGTGGGATCTGATGATTAAAGATGGCCTTGAATAGCTTTAAATAGAAAGCTGACTTAGAAAGGAGTCAAATCTGCATGACTTTACCCTGCCTCTACCAACCCTGAAGACAGGCTGGGCTGTGTGTGGCCTTGAGCTTCTTGCCCCCTAGTGGACTGCATTGTTCACAGACCTAAACTCAGGCTGGGAACAGTGTTGGGTCAGCTCAAGGAGAGAATCAAGCTAGGGTTGGAAATCTCAAAATTTCACAAGCTAAAGCCTGACACAGAAAATAAAAACAGCTAGGTGCTGGTGGCTCACGCCTATAAGCCTAGCTACTCAGGAGGCTGAGATTTGAGGATTGCAGTTTGAAGCTAGCCTGTGCAGGAGAGTCTGTGAGATTCTTATCTCCAATTAACCCCACCCCACCCCACCAACCCCAAAAAATCGAAGTGGAGGTATGACTTAAAGTGATACACCAGCTTTGAGAAAAAAAAATATCCCAACTACAAAGTTAACAAGGCTTAAGAAACAAAGGACTTCCACTTATCTGGTCAAATCCTAAATAACCTCATGCTGCTGATCACATATATGGTATATAAGTTTACACCGGAGGGAAACCAGGAGGACAACACAGAACTAGAGGGAATCAGGGAAAAACATACAACAATGGGACCCATCAGCTGCACTGGACATTGATCAAAACGAACTAAGCAACTCAATGGCAGCGATGGGAGGGAGGGAACGAGTGGGAAAGAGGGAACAGCTGACAAGATGCAAAACAACAGAAATGTACATATCACCCAATGTGGAAGAAATAACTGTATTGCAAAGCTCATAGAACTCATAAATGTTATAGAACACAATAGACAATTTGCCCCATGAAAGTTAGAATGTGTTTGTGACTTTAACTAAGCATCACTATCCCACAATACTGTGAAATTTGGAGAATTATGTAATCACTTAATCACAATAAAGAATTTGAAGAAAAAGTATCTCAGGCCCCATGACAGACATAAATAAAAGCAAAAAAATAAAACAAGAAAACCTTCCAGCTGAAGCTCTGTATCAGACTATAGAGGAAGTCATTTCAGCAATCACTGACTCTTACCACATATGTTGGTGCATTCTAGAATGCAGCAGTTAGAAAATAGAAGCAGGAAGATCACAAGATCCAGACTCACTTGGGCTTCATAGGAAAAGTAAAAGAAATCATTGAGTCTGCTCCTTAAAAAAGAATGAGCTAGGCGCCAATGGACCATGCTTATAATCCTAGCTACTCAGAAGGTTAGGATCTGAGGATGGTTGGTTGAAGCCAGCCCAGGTAGGAAAGTCCATGAGACTCTTACTTCCAATTAACCACCAAAAAGCCAAAAGCAGAGTTGTGGCTTGAGCATAAAAAGAATAAAAAGATGTAACTTTTTTTTTTAGCTGTGAGGCTATGGTAGATGATGGATAGCTGCTGGGGAAGAGGTGTCCATCCTCAGCTTCATACAACTCCAGGGGCACCATTCAAACTAATCTTTGGAAATAACATTATTTGGACTTGTATAGTGAACACAATGTAGAACAACACATCTTGGGCTTGCTGAAGTCACGTGGGAGGAACATGTGATGTGTACCTGTCACTTGGGTTTCTTGCTGGGCCTTGGGGATGGGGAGGGGGAGTATGTCAATCTGTGCTGATTAGCAGAGGTTCTGTGGCACAAACTGGGATTTCTACCCAGGGCTGATGTTTCTTTTCGGATTCTTTTCATGGTTGTATATTTAGGCCTGGAATGCTTTTATTTGATTTGCTGAGTTCAGAAATTATTTTCTCAGGCTGGAGGATGTAGCTCAGTAGTAGAGCAAGTGCCAAGAATTCATAAGGCCCTGAGTTTGACACCAGCCATGGAAAAAAAAAAATCAAGAACTTGAGGCAAAGCTCATAGCAAAGTTTTCCCATTCCATGCCTCATGATAGTTCATAACCAACCTCTAAAGCAGACCTCACTTCTTACTGCCAGCCAGATTCTTGTGTTGACTGTTTGACTTGTTATTTGTTTATGTGCCAGTACTGAGACTTGAATTCTGGGCCTAGCACTCTTGCTTGGCTTTTTCACTCAAGGTTGGTTCTCTACCACTTGAGCTATAGTTCTGCTTCCAGCCTTTTGCAAGTTAATTGGAAATAAGAGTTTGTCAGAGCCGGGTGCTGGTGGCTCATGCCTGTAATCCTAGCTACTCAGGAGGCTGAGATCTGAGGATCGCAGTTCAAAGCCAGCCCGGGCAGGAAAGACTGTGAGACTCCTAGCTCCAATAAACCACCAGAAAACCAGAAGTGGAGCTGTAGCTCAAGTGGTAGAGCACTCGCCTTGAGCTGAAGAGCTGAGGGACAGTGCCCAGGCCCAGAGTTCAAGCCCTACGACCGCCAAAAAAAAAAAGAGTCTGTCAGATGTGTCTGCTCAGACTGACTCCTAATCTCAACCTGACCCTCAGATCTCAGCCTTCTGAGCAGCTAGGATTATAGGCATGAGCCACTCACACCTGGTTTCATGTTGGCACTGAAATAGCATGACAGGGACTAGTGAACCTGTCTCTGGGTTGAGCATTTGCCCAAATGGAGCTCATGTCAGCCACTTCCAAGCTCAGAGGCATGGCTGGCTGAAAGCTGCCTGATAAACATAAACAATCTAAGAAGTATCTCCGACCGTGTCTGACTTCTGAATATTCTAGCGTACTTGTTTATGGGAAGGAAGCTTCCCATCACCCTCTCCTTCCATGTCGCCACATGTTCCTCACTCAAGGTCTTCCACGGGTCCCTTCTTATTCCCTCCAGACTTCCTACAGTGACACTGGGTGACAACATTTGGAGTCTTGGCAGTAGACAGCGGGCGCCCCGTGTTCTCTCATAGGCCACATGTAACAACACACAGGGCCAAAACACAGGCTTCTCCTCAGCGCTGGGGGACAGGAAGCTGCTTCACGTGGAGCTGCTAAGCCTGCATCCCAGCAGATTCCTGTGGGTGCAGGACTCAGGTCCCTGCTGCTCACCCGTGAGAGGATTGAGAATCAGAGGTCTCTCCAGCTTTGCCTGCTTTGGAGAAGGTGATGGTTTTTTACTCTTGAGTCAGGAGGGCTGGCAGCCTGTGATGGAGGACTTGGCTTTTCTAATGTCTGCAAGGGACCAGCTGGAGGAAGAGGGCAATGTGATTTAGAGAGAGGGAGGCAGCCCCTGTTTAGGAGTGGACCGCATACAACCTGCATCTCTGCCCTAGTCCTAGGGTTGGCATAGATGCTCTCATAGGGTTGTGAGGGGCCCACCTTCTGGAGTGTGTCTGGCACACAGGGGTAGACACAGAAAGAATCAGAAACTGTCTGAGTTGGTCAGTAAGGCCGGGAGGACATGGTGAGGCTTTCCTGCCTGGAAGAGGGGACTTGGGCTTAGCTTTGTGTA